CCACAACACTGCCAGAGACACTCTCCACCACAACACTGTCAGAGACACTCTCCACCACAACACTGCCAGAGACACTCCACCACAACACTGCCGGAGACACTCTCCACCACAACACTGCCGGAGACACTCTCCACCACAACACTGTCAGAGACACTCTCCACCACAACACTGCCAGAGACACTCCACCACAACACTGCCGGAGACACTCTCCACCACAACACTGTCAGAGACACTCTCCACCACAACACTGTCAGAGACACTCCACCACAACACTGTCAGAGACACACTCCACCACAACACTGTCAGAGACACTCCACCACAACACTGTCAGAGACACTCTCCACCACAACACTGCCAGAGACACTCCACCACAACACTGCCGGAGACACTCTCCACCACAACACTGCCGGAGACACTCTCCACCACAACACTGTCAGAGACACTCCACCACAACACTGCCAGAGACACACTCCACCACAACACTGCCAGAGACACTCTCCACCACAACACTGCCAGAGACACTCTCCACCACAACACTGCCAGAGACACTCTCCACCACAACACTGCCAGAGACACTCTCCACCACAACACTGCCAGAGACACTCTCCACCACAACACTGTCAGAGACACTCTCCACCACAACACTGTCAGAGACACTCCACCACAACACTGCCAGAGACACACTCCACCACAACACTGCCAGAGACACTCCACCACAACACTGCCAGAGGCACTCCACCACAACACTGCCAGAGACACTCCACCACAACACTGCCGGAGACACTCCACCACAACACTGCCAGAGACACTCCACCACAACACTGCCAGAGACACACTCCACCACAACACTGCCAGAGACACACTCCACCACAACACTGCCAGAGACACTCCACCACAACACTGCCGGAGACACTCTCCACCACAACACTGCCGGAGACACTCCACCACAACACTGCCAGAGACACACTCCACCACAACACTGCCAGAGACACACTCCACCACAACACTGCCAGAGACACTCCACCACAACACTGCCAGAGACACTCTCCACCACAACACTGCCAGAGACACTCCACCACAACACTGCCAGAGACACTCTCCACCACAACACTGTCAGAGACACTCTCCACCACAACACTGCCAGAGACACTCTCCACCACAACACTGTCAGAGACACTCTCCACCACAACACTGCCAGAGACACTCTCCACCACAACACTGTCAGAGACACTCCACCACAACACTGCCAGAGACACTCTCCACCACAACACTGCCAGAGACACTCCACCACAACACTGCCAGAGACACTCTCCACCACAACACTGCCAGAGACACTCTCCACCACAACACTGCCAGAGACACTCTCCACCACAACACTGCCACAACACTGCCAGAGACACTCTCCACCACAACACTGCCAGAGACACTCTCCACCACAACACTGCCAGAGACACTCTCCACCACAACACTGCCACAACACTGCCAGAGACACTCTCCACCACAACACTGCCAGAGACACTCTCCACCACAACACTGCCACAACACTGCCAGAGACACTCTCCACCACAACACTGCCAGAGACACTCTCCACCACAACACTGCCACAACACTGCCAGAGACACTCCACCACAACACTGCCACAACACGGTTCCTCAGCGGCCACTGTACCTACACTTTAAATTGCTTGCCGCAAATATTTGTACCGCTTGTCGCTAAATAAGGTTGAGCACAAAGTGGATGAGTGACCGCGCGGATATCCTCCTGGGGACCAGGAACATCTCACTGAACCTAACAGGCGCTTGCAGTGACAAGTATTCCGGTTATTGTGCTTGTTCACTCTTGGCATTGGTTCTTCTTCTTTGTCTTGTATTTGTTGTTCTTGTCAGTCTTGTATTTGTGTTTGTTGTGTTACGTGGACCAACTAAATGTGCTCTTCGCCCGACTATTAAGAGTCATACTCCTCTACGTTCATAGCCTAGAAGACGTCTAGTTTCGTTTAATAATAATTAGAGAGTGGCGAGATGCCGAAGATTTGAATTATTTAAGTTTTACGTTCATTGAGGGAGGAGATAAGAATGAGCGCTGCAGCAAACATGGCGGATCGCCTCAAGTGGAGGCGACGAAATCCCGCCAAAATACTCCTGATACGGTGACACCGACTCTCCTGGTTTTGAGGGAATATGATTGGTCGGATGCGGGGGTGTGCCTAGTCTGACCAATCAGAGGGCGTCCATGGCGTGATGTAATGTGACGTCAGCGTCCTAGGCTCTAGGCGGGAAATCCGCCAGCTGTCAGTAGCCACCTAGAGGTCAACGTGTCGGGACGTGTCGCATGTCGGTCCTACAAAGGTGTAGTTTAAGCCACCAGAAGGGACATTAAGGTAAACAGTGCTGGAGAGGCAACGTTGGTGAGTCCCCTTGTTCACTTCAAGAGGAAGATTTGAAGACTGGACCATGACAGGTCACAAGAGGTTTCGTGACGTTAGTGTACTCTTGTGTCTCTAGAGGCGAATCTAGAATCTACTATAGATTCCCCAGGCGGTGCTGGGGAATCTGGAGTAGATCCGCGGGCCGCTCCAGGAGGTGCTCCTGTGGGAAGTGTATGGTGACAGTCGTGGCCACCGTGTCTCTGAAGCAGAGCAGCCATGGGGGAAGTGACTTCCGAGCCGCGTCACTTCTACACGGAACAAGAGGACCAGCAATCACGGTCAGGAAGACATTTGCCGAATCCTAGTGGGCTCCTGAGAGGAGACCAGGAAGGAGAAGGGATCGACTGTGGTGTTACTTAGGCGGAGTGATGAGAGCAGGAGCCACGCACATGGCCCAGTGGGATCCTCTGCCAACCGCAACAGGCTGTTAGGACTGAAGCCAACGCTTTTCAGTTGTTTGATAGCAAGTGAATTTAATTTGTTTCGTGTACGCGGAGTGATTTTATTGAGGCGAGTGAGTCAAGATTAAGTTCACAATACTTATAAGTTGATGGTGCACTAGAATTTATTTCATCCAGATTAATCGTGTGTTATTGATGAGAAGATTAAAGGTAACTATTATATGAGGGCATTTACAGTAATTTTGTTTGGTGATAAAGTTTTAGTAGAGTAAAAGCTTAAAGAGTTCTGATAATAAATGCTGAGAGGTGTTGCCATATTGTTGCTCAATTTTATCGCGGAAAGTTGCCACATATTGACAGTTAAGATATTTTCAACCCTAAGTCTGTGTACTTTGATTTACAGTAAATAATTTCATGTTTGTATTTATTGCGTTTCAGTTCACTCCTACCTTCACCTTTATGTATTTTGCCTGAGGCTGAGTTTGAACATGATTAACACTCCAGGCTGAAGCACTTACCACTGTACTTATACAAGTTATCTGCTCTTGATTAAAGTACTTGCCAGACTGGAAAACCTTGGCTGCCTAATTATGAGGCAGCCAAATTGGCAGCAAGGAGCTGCCGATTTGTTACTCACATGAGGTTACAAGGTCAAGTGTAACTCACCTGAGGTTACAAGGTCAAGTGTAACTCACCTGAGGTTACAAGGTCAAGTGTAACTCACCTGAGGTTACAAGGTCAAGTGTAACTCACCTGAGGTTACAAGGTCAAGTGTAACTCACCTGAGGTTACAAGGTCAAGTGTAACTCACCTGAGGTTACAAGGTCAAGTGTAACTCACCTGAGGTTACAAGGTCGAGTGTAACTCACCTGAGGTTACAAGGTCAAGTGTAACTCACCTGAGGTTACAAGGTCAAGTGTAACTCACCTGAGGTTACAAGGTCGAGTGTAACTCACCTGAGGTTACAAGGTCAAGTGTAACTCACCTGAGGTTACAAGGTCGAGTGTAACTCACCTGAGGTTACAAGGTCATGTGTAACTCACCTGAGGTTACAAGGTCAAGTGTAACTCACCTGAGGTTACAAGGTCGAGTGTAACTCACCTGAGGTTACAAGGTCATGTGTAACTCACCTGAGGTTACAAGGTCAAGTGTAACTCACCTGAGGTTACAAGGTCAAGTGTAACTCACCTGAGGTTACACGGTCAAGTGTAACTCACCTGAGGTTACAAGGTCAAGTGTAACTCACCTGAGGTTACAAGGTCAAGTGTAACTCACCTGAGGTTACAAGGTCATGTGTAACTCACCTGAGGTTACAAGGTCAAGTGTAACTCACCTGAGGTTACAAGGTCGAGTGTAACTCACCTGAGGTTACAAGGTCGAGTGTAACTCACCTGAGGTTACAAGGTCAAGTGTAACTCACCTGAGGTTATAAGGTCGAGTGTAACTCACCTGAGGTTACAAGGTCAAGTGTAACTCACCTGAGGTTACAAGGTCGAGTGTAACTCACCTGAGGTTACAAGGTCAAGTGTAACTCACCTGAGGTTACAAGGTCAAGTGTAACTCACCTGAGGATACTTGCCGTGTATTTGTTTGTTACATGTCTCATATATGTGTTTGTTGTCTGACATGTTTTTGTACTTGTTCTGTCATAACTGTTGCCAGATGTTTCTATATAATGTCTTACAGGTTTAGAGCCTAGGCACGAAACTTAAGTGTCTCTGACTAATTATATATGTTTAACTATGTGTATAATTATATATGAACCGGTTTAAATAGTGCATAATTGAACTTGAAATAGGAAAATCGAACACTATTATCGTGGTAGAAGACCAAGTCGCTCTAATTATGTCCAATTCTTAAGAATATATTATTTTTATGAATATCTGCATTTTGTTATGAGACAGGGTCGAGAAGAATATTCTCTGTCTCAGTTAGGCTTGATCACACACACACACACACACACACACACACACACACACACACACACACACACACACACACACACACACACACACACACACACACACACATGCCCATATTGTTCCAATAAATACTTAACAATTATTTTTCAATAATTTTTTGTTAATTTAACTTTATATGCAAAGCTTGTTATAGATATGTTAGCGAGACAGTGTAACCATGTGTGAGTAATGATGGTGGTGTGCCCGCAGGTGCCCCACGTGCAGGAGGACATATTGAATGGTGTGGGCGGCGTGGGCGGCATGGAGGGTGCTGGCGGGCGGGCGGCCGGCAAGGTGTTCACCACAACAGGCAGCTCAACCACTTCCCGAGGCTCCTCCAGCAGCGGCTCCTCCGGCCAGGGTGGGTGCTGGCCCTCTAGTGCCGTGCATGTCCTTCTTCAGCTCTAGCTCCTGGCACCCGCCTCTTCCTTCCTCTCCTCCAAGTCCCATTTGCAATTTTTGTCTAATTGCTTTAACTATTTTTGTCCCTGTGAACCTATATATATATATATATATATATATATATATATATATATATATATATATATATATATATATGTGTGTGTGTATATCACGAAAATAAACACGTGATTAAGAATGTGACAATGTCAGACCACGGAGGAAAAATGAAACAGGAATTTCCTTAAGTACTTTCGTATATTAAATACATCTTCAGAAGGTCTATCATCACAATCATAACACCTTCTGAAGATGTATTTAATATACGAAAGTACTTAAGGAAATTCCTGTTTCATTTTTCCTCCGTGGTCTGACATTGTCATATATATATATATGTATATATATATATATATATATATATATATATATATGTAATAACCCTCCTGCGATTGATATGACTTAAACCCCCACTTACCACAATAGTTTTCATCACCCAATACTCAGGGTGAGGCATTATTGACCAGTTTAGTTATGAGTGGTCAATATCGCCTAGGTCAGTGGTGTCTCGTATGCTCAGGAATCACCATTTTCGATGAGAGTAGCTGACATTCACACCATGATGGTGCTGGCAGTTGTGATAGTGATCAGGACCGAGGTAATGGTGATACTGTTCCTGATATTGGTTGGTGATGTCCATCATGATAGTGTCAATAGGTTTATTGATAGTGAAGGTGGAACCGGTGATGTTGATCATGATAGTGACACTGCTCATTTTAGTCACAAGTTTCAATGGTAATAGTGACCATTAAATCTCTTAAACTGAACAAATGCTCTATATGTGAAGTCATATAATTGCGGACCATTGGACCGCAGTTCCAGTGGTCCTGACACCAATATTATGACTGCCACCAGTTACAATGGTCCTGACACCAATATTATGACTGCCACCAGTTACAATGGTCCTGACACCAATATTATGAATGCCACCAGTTACAATGGTCCTGACACCAATATTATGACTGCCACCAGTTACAATGGTCCTAGTGTTAACAATCTTGACACCAGTACAGTGGTCTGACGCCGGTGTTACCACCGGTGCTGGCATCATAGTGCCGACATAATGATCAATATCACCAGGTATATTGTACCTGCCATCAATCACCAGGTATATTGAACCTGCCATCAATCACCAGGTATATTGTACCTGCCATCAATCACCAGGTATATTGTACCTGCCATCAATCACCAGGTATATTGTACCTGTCATCAATCACCAGGTATATTGTACCTGTCATCAATCACCAGGTATATTGTACCTGCCATCAATCACCAGGTATATTGTACCTGCCATCAATCACCAGGTATATTGTACCTGTCATCAATCACCAGGTATATTGTACCTGTCATCAATCACCAGGTATATTGTACCAGCCATCAGTCACCAGGTATATTGTACCTGCCATCAATCACCAGGTATATTGTACCTGCCATCAATCACCAGGTATATTGTACCTGCCATCAATCACCAGGTATATTGTACCTGTCATCAATCACCAGGTATATTGTACCTGTCATCAATCACCAGGTATATTGTACCTGTCATCGATCACCAGGTATATTGTACCTGTCATCAATCACCAGATATATTGTACCTGCCATCAATCACCAGGTATATTGTACCTGCCATCAATCACCAGGTATATTGTACCTGTCATCAATCACCAGGTATATTGTACCTGTCATCAATCACCAGGTATAAATGTACCTGTCATCGATCAACAGGTATAAATGTACCTGTCATCGATCAACAGGTATAAATGTACCTGTCATCAATCACCAGGTATATTGTACCTGTCATCAATCACCAGGTATATTGTACCTGCCATCAATCACCAGGTATATTGTACCTGTCATCAATCACCAGGTATATTGTACCTGTCATCGATCACCAGGTATATTGTACCTGCCATCAATCACCAGGTATAAGTGTACCTGTCATCGATCAACAGGTATAAATGTACCTGCCATCAATCACCAGGTATAAGTGTACCTGCCATCAATCACCATGTATAAATGTACCTGCCATCAATCACCAGGTATATTGTACCTGCCATCATTCACCAGGTATAAATGTACCAGCCATCAATCACCAGGTATAAGTGTACCTGCCATCAATCACCAGGTATAAGTGTACCTGCCATCAATCACCAGGTATAAGTGTACCTGCCATCAATCACCAGGTATAAGTGTACCTGCCATCAATCACCAGGTATATTGTACCTGCCATCAATCACCAGGTATAAATGTACCTGCCATCAATCACCAGGTATATTGTACCTGCCATCAATCACCAGGTATAAATGTACCAGCCATCAATCACCAGGTATAAGTGTACCTGCCATCAATCACCAGGTATAAGTGTACCTGCCATCAATCACCAGGTATAAGTGTACCTGCCATCAATCACCAGGTATAAGTGTACCTGCCATCAATCACCAGGTATAAGTGTACCTGCCATCAATCACCAGGTATAAGTGTACCTGCCATCAATCACCAGGTATAAATGTACCTGCCATCAATCACCAGGTATAAGTGTACCTGCCATCAATCACCAGGTATAAGTGTACCTGCCATCAATCACCAGGTGTATTGTACATGCCATCAATCACCAGGTATATGGTACCTGCCATCAATCTTAACATCACAATCTTTAAGAGTAATACTTGCTCAACACTATAATATAGGACTGCTAAAAGTCCATATAATTAAGTTAGGATATATAATGATATATGCAATAAATGTGTAGTTTAGTAATATGTGTTTTATGCAATGTTTTGTGTCAAGCAACATGTGCCAAGTTTAGTTGTGACGTAATAAAAAATGATGACGTTTTACGTGACACGTGACTTGTAATGTCCAATTGAAGGCGACCTGAGGTATCACACGTCACTGAGACCTCCCCTGATTTGTCAGCAGCCGTCCAGGGTTGCCAGATTGGGCTACAAGTAGCGAATTGGGCTACTTTTGAGAGCCCCGCGCTCCCAAATTTGTAATTTCGCTATTTGCTACTTTTTGGGCTAATTTAAAAGCAAGTTGGGCTAATTTGGGCTATTAATGTTAAGCAACTCAGCACCCCGCGATAGCAGCCACAGACTGACAATTTAAATGCGAGCACAGCACGCAGTATATCATTTTACGACCAAAGATCACATTTACTCCAAAAAATCTTCCACTTACGGGCTATTCATGCCCTTGCCACCTCTTGGGTAGCTTAATCTTCATCAATCAATCAGTCACAAACAAGGAACAACGATTTCAAGTTCAACAAGTCACAACTTAGGACAGAAAACAGGAGAATTTTTTTCACCCACGTGGGGCATAACAATGCACAACTACCAAATCATCAACATTATCTTGGAGTCAGAATCCACCAATCACTGATAGTTGTACAAGTGGAAGCTGCAGTTATAAAAGCAAACCAAATCCTAGGCATAGTCAAACGAAATTTTGACGAAGGAAAAGGTAGTTATACAACTGTATAAATCTCTGGTGTGCTTCCACTTGATTATTATATCCACGCACTGAGACCTCATCTTCAGAAAGACATATCTGCTTTGGAGAAAGTTCAACACCGGGCGACTAAAATCTTTCCCGAACTAAGTCGACTTTCATACCAGGGACGGTTGAGGGCCACAGGGACCAGACATGACAGGGCTGCTCTCAGCAAAACATTTAAATTACTGAACAATTTGGAAGATATTGACCCAGAACACTTCTTCAAAAGGCTAGTTGTAAGACGAACAAGGAGTAACGGTTTCGAGCTCAACAAGCCACACTGAAGGATGAAAAATATTTGTTTTCTCCAATAGAAATATACAGTTGTGGAAACGCCTACCCGCCGAAGCCGTAAATGCCAAAACATTGGCATTTGTTTGGCCCCGAAACAAATGGGAGGGGCCTTACAAGCCAGACAACCTTCCTGTCCTCGTCGAGACCACTAGAGAGAGATACCTGAATTTGCCCGAGGGCCACCCTCGAGTAAATTCAGCAAAACCATGGAACCACCTTCTCGACGAAACCGTAAATGATAAAACATTGCTCGATAAAATCACCAGAGCAAATAGGGGACATTTGACAAGCCGCCGGCTTCCTATCCTCACTGAGAGATAGAGACCCTCTGGTAAATTCAGGTAAATCTTAGCTAATTAAATAATCCTGAAAAGTTTGCTTATTGAAGGCAGTGCTGTGTTAGCAGCATTATACTCCCTGAGCAAAGCAATGCACTGTTGCCCTCCAACCCCGATGATGGGCACTGGGACCCATGTCTGTGGATCTATACTTACAACCACATTCTTGTCTGTGGACCTTCCCTACTTTGGTACGGCTCTCAGTGTGCTTGGTAGAGTTAGGAAGGGTGTTTGTCTGATTAGGTGAGGTGTTTGTTGACCAAACCACACACTAGAAAGTGAAGGGACGACGACGTTTCGGTCCGTTCTGGACCATTCTTAAGGTGATTGTGAGAATGTACAATTGTCCCTTCACTTTCTAGTGTGTGGTTTGGTCAACATATTTCAGCCACGTTATTGAGACTCCTCGTCTGCAGGTGTTTGCTAGGTCTGTAGGTACACAACTGGTCGGGTTCTGCTTACACTCGGACACGAGACGATTCGGCTAAACTCATTTTCTGTTTTAAATCCGGATGTATTGTTATGCTAGGCTGTATTAGGTTATTAAGGTTAGGCTGCATAGATTGATTGGTTTGATTTGGGTTACGTTAGGTTGGGTTGAGCTAGGTTAGTCAGGTTTCAAAATTCAAAATTCCACAACGCCACGGAGCAGTCTCTGTGGCACAGTGGTAAAGCATGCGCCCGGCTCTTCGCCAGCCCTTTGACCTGGGTTCGTATCCTGGTCGGGGAGGATTGACCGGGCGCCAATCCTTAACTGTTCACCAAGCAGAGAATA